CGTACCGATTCCCTACTCAACAATTACTTTTAATTCTAACTAGTAAACTCACCCGTGCGATGCACGGTTTGAGAATTTTTCTTCAAATTTGTTAGTGTTCACTAATTCAAATTACACTATCAATTGAAGAGAGTATCTATCTCCATGGAATATTGATATAACTTCAAGCAATAAACAAAACACACTTATAATATATATTATAGTTAAAAAGAAAACACTAAACATTACTTAAAAGATAAAAACATCCAACAAATACTTAGAAATCATAACATTGTAAATATACATTTCATGTAACCCTAAACATTGTTGAATTCTTTTTGAATACAACATTCTGATTCTTGTTCAGTGGTTCCTTCTTCTTCATCAATACCCGTGCGATGCACGATTGGTGAAATTTCGCGAGTATAATTAACATTAGCCAACATTTTAATTAAAAAAATAAACAAACTTGTAATTTTAATTGAATTGTTTAGAATTATACTCCATACAATAATAAAACTTGACGTAAATGAAACATATAAATTGCTACCTCCGTGCCGCTAGAAGGTTCTCATAGCAAAACGGCACAATTATTTAAGTGATAATTAAATAAAGTACTTTGGGTATATTTTGAGAAATAATTTTAATAGGTATATATTATAATGTGTTAGTATTGATAACTGTGATGTTATAAATGTATTATTTTTAATATTTAATGACTAATTTGTCACTTAAGATTGTTAATAGTTTCCTAAAATGGAAATGAGAACCTTCTAATGGGACGTCCAAAAAAGGAAAGTAGGAACCTTCTAACGGGACGGAGGGAATACAATTTACTAATGATTATAGAGTAGTACATTATTTTTTATAGCCCGCAAAATAGTAAGTAACACGCAATATAAACATCATTTGAAAACAAATTACATTCCATGGCGAATTTTATGAAACACTTTTTTGTACCTTCTGTCTAGCATTAACTCTTGTTAAAAGGGAAATTACACTAAATAGGACAGAAAAAGTTTTATGTATTCCAAAATTGGACCTTAAGCATGACAATATTTTTCAAGCTTGACATTAATTACACCTATTTTGGTAATAAAAAACATGACAATCTTATTTTGGAATTCTCAAACTTATTTACTCACATTCAAAAAATTTCTCTTATTAAAATCCTTCATTCAAGTAAATTTTTGACAAAGATTTTTTTCATTTTCAAATCAAAGGTCTATATATGTTAACTGAAGGTATAAATTTTTATAATTACTAAATAATATGGTGACATTACATCTTTACGAATTGCATTATTTAGACGAATTGCTGATGTAACCTGGCAAATCGGGGGGTGTGCACATATGTGAAAATGTGTTATGTCTTTATCTATACGAATTGCATTATTTAGACGAATTGATGATGTAACCTGGCAAATCAGGGGGTGTGCAGATATGTGAAAATGTGTTATGTCTTTATCTTTATCTATACGAACTGTTGATGTAACCTGACAAATCAGGGGGTGTGCAGATATGTGAAAATATGTTATGTCTTTATCCATACGAATTGCATTATTTAGACGAATTGCTGATGTAACATGACAATTCAGGGGGTGTGCAGACATGTGAAAATGTGTTATGTCTTTATCTATACAAATTGTATTATTTAGACGAATTGCTGATGTAACTTGGCAAATCAGGGGGGTGTGCAGATATGTGAAAATGTGTTATGTCTTTATCTATACGAATTGCATTATTTATACGAATTGCTGATATAACCTGACAAATCAGGGGGGTGTGCAAATATGTGAAAATGTGTTATGTTTTTATCTTTATCTATACGAATTGATGATGTAACCTGGCAAATCAGGGGGTGTGCAGATATGTGAAAATGTGTTATGTCTTTATCTATACGAATTGCATTATTTAGACGAATTGCCGATGTAACCTGGCAAATCAGGGGGTGTGCGGATATGTGAAAATGTGTTATGTCTTTATCTATACGAATTGCATTATTTAGACGAATTGCTGATGTAACCTGACAAATCAGGGGGTGTGCACATATGTGAAAATGTGTTATGTTTTTCCTAAACTAAACTTAAATATAAATTTATGAGAAAACTTCAAATAAGTATTTATACACATAATGTTATTTAGGTATATATGTATATAACTTTTTAAAATGATTACATAAATATGATTAAAATAAAGGTTGTTTATGAAAATGTGACCTGTTAAGCATAGTTACTATGGTCAAAATATATGGTCAAAATACCTTTTTACATCTTTTTACCAATAGGATTTGGTTGCTTACAAAACTTTATGTTCTGATGGATGTAATATCTTTAGATTATACGGACTAATTATTTTGTATTGTATTTATTTTGACATTTGTTTAAGGATTTTGCAAATTTTTTTAATGGAAAAATGAACAAAAGCATGATGTTGACGTTTTTTGGGGGGAACCCTATTCATAAAACAAAATCAGTCAATTCAGCTACTTCAGTCCGAACATTACAAATTTCAATAGAATCAATCAATTCAATCAATTTTAATGTTATCAAACAGACATAATAAGTTACTTTACAAAAACAATAATGAAAAATTCATACCCACAATCCACATAATTCCCCCTCTATGGTGTGGAAAAAATACCCCTTCTATGGGGTAAAAAAACTCCCCTACCACAACTCATATGCCCCACCCCCACCTTAAACTTTCTCGGTTCACACTTTTTTTTGCGTGTCATCCTTGCGCAAGGGTCATGTTAATCTTCTCTGTATCGTTCAGATTTTATCGGATGTCCCCGAAGGGACTTCACATTTTTTTTTTAATTGTCGTAGGTGCACACATTTTGCTGAATTGTCTGTGGACAGAAAATTCTATGTGCGCGAGACGGAAGAATATACAAAAGGTGTACACCAATTTTTTTTTTACTCTTTTTCCTTTCCTAATACATACTACCTCCGTCCCACTAAGATTGAGACATGAGAAAGTGTCACGGTTATTCAGAAAAGTGAGTTTGTGTGGTTGACATTGAATTGATAAAGTAATAATAAAGTAAAAATTATTTAGAGCCACACAAATTTTACCAAATTTGGTATGGAACAATCTTAATGGGACTTCCCAAAAAGGTAAAATGAGACAGTCTTAGCAGGACGGAAAGACGGAGGGAGTAGTATTTCACAACATCTTTCATCCTCCCCTTTTTTCCGCCTCATTCCTCCGAAAAACTTCATCCCTCTCCTGTATTCCTCTTACTATTAAAAGTGTTCCGCTAGACAAATTGGGTTCTCTACTTCCCTTCTCCGATCTGGTGAGCTCGTTGCCCTCTGAAACAACCTTTGGGTCCTCCCATTTACCTCTTTAATGACCGATTTGCGTTAACCCCCAAAACGGTAAACTCAATTCATACACAAATTTTTTATTTTATCTTTTCTTTAAGGAAACAGCCAATTTTATTAAAAGAGACCCAAGGCAAATTACAGCAAACCAAGTAAATCAAAAGGAAAAAATACAGCAAAACACACGTGAAATTCAATTCATTTTAAAACCTGAATTTCAAGAATGACCGTCTGATAGGGAAAAAAATAAACACAGAGAGTACACTTACCGAGTTTCATAACATATTTAAAAATAATCCGTAAATTGAAATAATTTAAAATTAAAATAGAAACCAATTGTGACAAACGATCAAAAATCAATCGGGTCACTAAAAAATAATTTATTTACAAAAAAAAAATGTTATCTAGGGTCATTAAATTTCAAATCTATTACTCCCTAATATATATGGTAAAAAGAAACCAAATCCAAGTGTTTTGCTTATTTATGGCGAATGTTCCAGAATGTTCATTTCTCAATCCATTTTGTATTTCATATAAGATTATGTCCCCACCGGTTCTCTCTTTGTCCTTAGCATCTAATTCATCACAGCAAGCAGCCACGACTTCTTACAACGCTTTCTCCACTGCAAAAGCTTCACACCAACCCTCCTACTACAGATTTGCATCCCTCTATTCCTTCACCTCAAATTCATCTTCCTCCACCAAATTTCCATATCCTTCTTCCTATGATTTCAATGGTGAATTTCACAAATCCTGTAACTATCAAACAAAAAACAATCCACTTAATTTTATAGCGCAATATATATCTACGGTTTAGCCCAAGCGAAAAAACATATGCTCTATATACCATTCCTGTACCTAGGGTATTTTCAAATGGTGTTCCAGCTGCATGTAGTATCTTCCAGCTGCGGCAACCTTTGGCATCTCCACACACAACCAACCTCTAATGATGTTCTGACAAATCCATAAACCCTTCTACCGGCTTAATAAATTGACACCTTGCCGGCAACACCATCTTCTTCATGCTTTATTCTATTAAAACAATCTCCATCAACTACATATTTTGACTGATCTACCACAAAAATCCCCACCTTCTTAGATTCTAGAACAATATGCATCTATATTGGCTAACAGGTTCAAAGTATACACAGACTGTTTTGCTATTTCTACGGTGGGGATGTGAGAAATCCAATACGAAAGTGCATCTTTTATAGCTAGATGATACAACAGCTCCACAGTGGGAATGAGATAGGCTCAATCTCATTTACTGTACCCACCATCCAGTTCTACCAATAGCATAACATGTAGGTAAACAGTAACTACATAACAATCCACGCAATTGATTTTATCTGTGCTCACCTCCTCCTCTGACCAATAGGAATTAAGTATTTACAATACTTGCTGACTCGAACAATCTGATCTCGGTGGCCTGAATTTCTTTTTTATTTATTTTGACCAATTAATAAATTAGTGATTGAAGTTGACGTTTTCAAGCGGGAACACTATTCCTCTAAAATCTTTTGCTTTTATATTAGAATAATAAAATCTCTCTGTCCCAATTTGTTTTGCAAAGTTAACAATTTTTGGTCAACCAATAATAAAAGTCAACCCTCCATATGGATAATTAATTCAAACGCGTTGAGAAAACACTCTCGTCTCTCACTAGGATTTTCTCGAACCCCTGGGTCAAGAATTTTTTAGGTTGCGCGTGGATCCAACAGATTAAGCTACAAATTTCTTCTTGTTGCTAGCTCGTAATTCACTACTCCATCTTATCTTTGGTTTAGATTTGAGGGAAATCGAAGTTACAGCTTAAACGAAGAAATAATTGAACTTAGAGCTCGCAGAATCTACTGTTCACCACTTTATGATTTCTGCTGAATAATCAAACTCCGACGACTGTTTTTGGATTTAAGGAATCGATTGGGGGTCGCCACCTCCTGGCGAACCTCCCGGTACCTGTACCGTATCCCAATTCATCCTAAGGCGCTAGAACTGAAAGATCCGTTGAGAAGACCATTGTTTTGGGTTTTCTCAGATTTTTTGAACTTCTACTGATTAATACCAAATTAAAAGCTCATCTGTGAAGCCTCAACTAGACGAGCAATTTGGTACCTGATTGGAGCCAAATGAGTAAGAACACTGGAAATCGAGCACTATTCATCAATACGCAGATTTGGTGATTTTCTGTATTGTTCTTCATCTGGAGATAACTTGGAATTCTGAAGCTTTAATTGGTCTCAGGGGACTGTAACGAAGCTAAGTATACGTTTCCCCATTTAATTTGAGCACTCTGGTTCTGCGTTTTTACTGTTCATCTTCTTCACTGCTTGACAGTTTTCTAGAACTAGTTAAACTTTTTCTGGGATTGTTCTGGGTATTGTTTTTGATAGCGGTTAATTTCTGAGAGCTTCTTATCACTTGAGGAACGTCCTAGAATTCTTTGAGACTTTTCTAAAAACTTTGAAAAATTAAAGTTGGGTCCTGATTTTCTCTGAAAATACACCTATTTTCAGATACTGCTGATCTTCTCAAACTTACTGTGCACTGTTCATCTTCTTCCCAGTTTCTTACTAAACTGCAATAGTGATAACAGTGTGTCTGGTGCTAGTTAAGCTTCTTGTGAACGTTGTACCTGTGTCTTGCTTTAGATACTTGCTTCTTTTTTCGAACTAACAATGCAGGTAAGCTTATCAAACTAAGAGGTGTACCTCTTAGTTTACTGAGATTTTCTGGGGAGCTCTTGTTCTGCATATTCTTTAATATGACTAAAAAGAACAAACAACAGAGAACCCCACCTGCTAAAGACAAGTTATTCGATGAAAAAATCAAGTACCTGAACGAAAAGAAAGCTGCTAAGGCCGCACTTCAGGCTGAGAAGATGATTAAGAAAGGTATATTCAATGAGGTTTTACCTATTGATGCCCCTGTTATCTCCTCAAACTCCACCGAAGCCACTGAAGGGATGGGACTTGAAGCAAATGTTGAGGTATCAACTGCGGGGGGAGGACTGGATGCTAATGCTGTGGATCCTAGATCACCCCAAACTGCTGCCAATGATAAGGAGGATGCTCCTCCTACTTTGGGGGCTACCCCAACTGAGATTATGGACAATATTACACCTGCTAATGTTGGGACTGTAAATGCTGAGGCCTCTAAAGTGGATGATGTTGCTGATGTTAATGCTTTGGATATGACGGATTCTAGTGCTGGTGCACCACTCATTGCTGGAGATAACGAGAATGATGGTGCCTCTTCTTCAAAGGCCAAGACACCAAATGTTGCTGGGGTTAATCCAACCACTCCTGCACCTAATATTATCACTGCTGAGGCATCCCAGGGGTCGGGTGTTGTTGGGTCTTATGCAGAAGCTTTACGTGGGACAGGCTCCTCTAATGTCGCGGACCAGTTGGAGTTATCTTTAAAGCCAACAAAGCCTATCATAGAAACTGATGATGAATTAGGGAGATCAATTTCCTTGGGATCCCAGGACACAATTCTTCCAATTGCAAAACTTCCAAAAAATGGTGGTCAACCTAAGAAGTGGAATGCACTTTTCCATGATAACCGAGCACCAACAAATGGCCTCAAATTGGAGTACTTCCCTCCTACCGGTGAAATACTCGATTTTTCTCATCTAAAGGTACCTACTTTGGTAGAAATTTGGGGTCACTGCCTGGTTGGATATTTTTCTGGTAGATTCCCGGGCTTGAAAGCTATTCATGATATGACGACCAAGTGGAATGTGGAGGTTCATGTGAAATCCCATAGCAAAGGGTGGGTAATTTTCAAATTCAAGAGTGAAGAGGATCGATTACATGTATTAGCCGAAGGACCCTATGTGCTATTCGGGAAGACTATGTACCTCAAAGAGCTCTCCGATGATTTTTCAACCAATGGGGAGGAATTCCTAAAACTGCCAATTTGGATAAAATTCCTTAGACTGTCTATGAGACTTTGGAAAGCAAAAGAAATAGGTATGATAGCATCTCAAGTGGGAATACCTATCACAACCGACAAGGTCACTCAAGATACGGTCCACCCCCATTTTGCGCGTGTACTTATCGAGGTTGATGTTTCTAAACCCCCGGTGATGCAATTTCCAATTATTCCACCGTCGGGTAAAGAATACATGCAACAAGTGATTTATGAGACTTTTCCGGAATATTGTTTCCATTGTAAAAAATATGGTCACCACTGTTTTACCTGCTTGATTCTTAATCCACCTAAGGAAAAGACTACAAGGAAGCCTACTGCCAAAGAAAAAGGAAAGGGGGCTGCCACCCCTATTGATGTTGCTGATCCCCCATTTGATATTGTGAACCGGAATAAGAGCAAAGGAGTCTATGTGAGAAGGGTACCACTGGGAAATGATGGCGCTTCTACATCTAAACTTACTGGACCACATCAACAAGCTACTGGAATGGACCCATCCACTGAGGCCGAGCCTACTGCCAACGAATCTGATGCGCTGGCTGTCATCCCTGAGCTATCTGTCGAGACTGATCCTATATTTGAATGGGAAGGGAGGCTGATTACGAGTGTACATGAGCTAGAACCAGATGATATAGTCAACAAATTTATAACAAAGGAAGATGGTGCACATATTGCTTATGTTAAAAAGAGGCACCAAATAAAGAGCTTTATTCCGGTGGCGAGGCTGGGCAAGAACTATCAAAGGGTGCAGAATCTGGATGCCCCAACTTTATCATTCACTGACCCATGTTTGGTTGGGCTTCCTGGAGTGAGGCGAACTAGATCCTGGTATGCATTTACTAGAGAAATCTTTTTTCTTAATGTTGCTAGTTTTTTTGATGTGCAGGCGAAACACAATGTAAATTTCCTACATAATAAGGAAATCTCCGCCCTTGAGCAAACTGCCATCACTGAACCAGTAAACATGGAGGTTGCCAACTGTCCGCCTAAAGCAGCCTATGTGGAATCCCGTGGTGACAAAGCTTTCAACGAGGGGAAAGGGTACCTTGTTACGAATATGTATGAGATGGGGATTGACGACGTTGTAACCATGGTCCTCTTGGACGAAAAGAACAGGACAATTGCGTACGCATGGGCACCGGAAGAAGTCCCAAAGGGTGTGACAACGGTTAAAATAGGGGCAAATCTGGAATCGGTTCCCTTTGATGAAACCGGAATAACGTTCACCGAGGACTATCTCCTTAGCTGCCCCGAAGTTAAAAAGAATGGAGAATGGTATGATTTCGATAAATCTACCTTTATTCAACGTGTTCTTTCCTTCTTTGATGCTAGCCAGGAAAGGAACAAGAAATATCTTAAGGAGATGCGAAGAAGAGCTAGGAAGGAAAAGAAGGACAAAGGAGGGATAGACCCGGAAGATGTGTCTTATACATCAGACTTCTATCTCACTTGAGGTGATGGGTATGATTCAGTAGTCCTTACTTTTGAATGTTAATTAAAATTGCATCCTGGAATATTAGAGGGTTGAAAAAACCCTCTAAGCATAGTGTTATTAATAATTTTATTAAGAGTAATCATATTACTCTTTGTTGTTTTTTAGAGACAAAAATGAACCCGGTTAGTTTTAAAAATTATGTCTCTAATAGGTGGCCGGGGTGGTCGCATGAAACTAATTTTGAAACTATTAACGGTGGGCGTATGGGCATTATGTGGGACCCTAATTTTGTGAGTTGCTCGTTTTTGGAAATTGACAAACAACATATGCATGTCAAATGCACATGTCGGGTCACCCAAATCACCTTATATGCTACTTTTGTTTATCCATTATATACTGTATTAGAACGCAAGGTTCTTTGGGATCACTTAACGGATCTGGGGATTCATATTATAGATCCTTGGGTTATTAGTGGTGATTTTAATTGTGTTTGTTCGCCAAATGAGAGGGTGAGTCCAACCCCCCCCCTCGGCTTACATAATGCAACATTTGGGTGATTTTATGGTCTCGGCCAACCTACAAGATGCTCCATCCACGGGTGTTTTCTACACGTGGAATAGGGGTACTCTTTGGGCTAAGCTTGACCGAGTATTAATAAATGATGTTTGGGGACAAAATGGCTTTGGGTGTAAGGTTCATTTTTATGATATTGAGGTGAAGTTTGATCATTCGGCCTCCGTTTTTTCTATACTCCATAGTTCCTCCCCTAAGCCCAAGCCATTTAAATTCTTCAACATGTGGATAATGCATCATGACTTTGCTAACCTAGTTGCGCAGGTTTGGCACCAAAGGTTTGAAGGTTCGGCCCAGTACACTATAGTTAAAAAACTAAAAATATTAAAAGGGCCTCTCAAGAAATTAAATGACAGGGAATTTGGGCACATCTCTAGCAAAGCTAAAGCGGCCAAAGAGGACTTCATGAGGATGCAAAACCTTGTGCTCCAATCTCCATCGGATGTTGAACTCCTACGCCAATTGAAGGAAAAAAGGGCTTGGGCTACATTCCTTAGTGAAGCGGAAACAAGCTTTTACCAACAAAAGGCAAAGGCTAACCACATCTTGGAAGCGGACAAAGGCACTAGGTACTTTCATGCAATCGTGAAAAGGAAGGCAACACGGAATGCAATATCCGCTATTACTCTGGAGGATGGTAGTCTTACTACATCTTTAGAGCAAGTTGGAGATGAATTTGTAAAGTTTTTTGTGGATTTGTTTGGTACAGGTACTGAAGGCCATCCTTTGGATCCCACGGTTTTGGGATCTGGTCCATTGGTGGGAAGTAGTGCTCATGAGAGCCTCCTTGCGCCGGTTGAGACGATAGAGATTAAAAATTCTCTATTTGACATCGGCAATGACAAGGCACCAGGACCGGATGGTTATTCTTCTGCTTTTTTTAAGTCTAATTGGGAACTTATTGGGCATGACATAGTCCGGGCCATCAAAGAGTTCTTTCGTTCGGGTAAGTTACTTAAGCAAATTAACCACACGGTTATTGCACTTATCCCCAAAACAGACCACTCACCGAAGGTCTCAGACTATAGACCAATCTCTTGCACGAATGTCTTGTATAAAATCATCACAAAAATCCTAGCGGCTAGACTTAGTCAATGCCTTCCCGACTTGATTGACCTAGCCCAAGGTGCTTTTGTTGATGGCCGCCTCATGTTTGATAACATTTTTCTTGCACAAGAACTCGTTAGAGGATACATGAGGAAGCGAATCTCACCAAGATGCATGATCAAGGTGGATTTGCGTAAGGCTTATGATACGATCTCATGGAATTTTCTTGAGGGAGTCCTAAGAGGGTTGGACTTCCCCGATAGATTTATTGGGTGGATTATGGAGTGCGTAACCACGGCTTCATTTTCCATATCTTTGAATGGATGTTTGTATGGCTATTTTAAGGGCAAAAGAGGTATTCGCCAAGGGTATCCAATGTCTCCGCTTCTTTTTGTGCTTTGTCTTGAATATTTTTCACGATTGATTAATTTAAAAACCAAAGGGCCGAACTTTAATTTTCATCCCCAATGTGCGAAGCTTGGCATTACCCACTTGGCCTATGCGGATGACCTAATACTTTTCTCACGAGGCGACACGTATTCTATAGAAATACTTGTCAATGCCCTTAAAGAGTTTGGGGACGCATCAGGCCTAATGGTTAACCACAATAAATCTAACATTTTTGTGGGGGGTGTTAATGATAATGATCTGGATGAGATTATGGCCCTTGTGGACTTTGGGCGTGGGACGTTCCCGGTAAAATACCTTGGAATACCACTTGCCCCGTTAAAGGTTTCGGTGGCTCAATATGCGCCCCTGATTTCTACTATCTCTGACTTCTTGAAAGTTTGGAATACTAAGACTTTATCCTATGCCGGGAAACTAGAGTTGATTAGATCGGTGATCCAAGGGGTCCAATCTTTTTGGCTACAAGTGTTTCCGGTCCCCCAAACTATTTTAGATAGGATAGTCTCTATATGTAGAGTCTTCTTATGGGGTGGAAAGTTCTCTAAAGTGGCTTGGGATGACATTTGTCTTCCAAAAGAGGAGGGGGGCCTTGGCATTCATAATGCCAAGGTTTGGAACCATGCCCTCCTATCTCGAACACTTTGGGACGTCCATAGGAAAAAGGATACACTATGGGTGAGATGGGTCAATGGGGTCTATCTCAAAGGTAGGAGTGTGTGGGATTTTGTCCCACGCAATCGTGACTCAATGTTCATGAAGAAATTGAGTCACATCCGAGACCAAATCAAGAGATGTTTTAACAACCTAAATGATACCATAATGGGTCTTAATGCTAGATCCGAGAATGGGAAACTAGTATCGGGTAAGATATATGAACTTTTGAGAACTAAAGGGACGGTTCGAGCTTGTATGAGTTTCATATGGAAATCTTATATCCCTCCCAAATTCTCGTTTAATGTTTGGCTTGCCTTGCGTAACAGGTTACCTACACAGGATAACCTCAGTTACTTGCATATTGTTAACCGATGTGACCTTTGTAAGGGTGGCTTGGAAACAATGCCACACCTCTTCTTTCTTTGTCCTTACACTTGTAGGGTTTGGGAGCATATTAAAGACTGGTTGGGATTAACAAGGGAGATGTCCACACTCAATAGCTCAGTCAAATGGATTTTGAAGAATCATAAAGGATCGAAGATCAAAGGGAAAGCTGCTCGTATTGCCTTTTGTGCCACGGTCTATTACCTTTGGCACGCTAGGAATGCCAACCGATTTGACGAAGCGGATGTGAAGGAGGAGGAGACCATTGCGAAAATCAAGCATGTGGTATATAAGATACTATTCAGTATATATCCACATGACTTGGTTAAATTTTGAAGAAGGCAAATGCATGGATATTTTGGATGCCGAGGTTTGAAGTTAATTGACACTGCCACATGGACACTTGTATGTCGCGGCATGGACCTTTTGGATGCCGCGGCTTGGACAATTCGGACACCAAGGCATGAACATCTTGGATGCCACGGCATGAGGTAGCGTCTTGGACGGGGGGTGTTTGCTACCACCTTTGTATTTCTTTTAACTTTTGAACTTCTGCTCTAGTTGCTTACTTAAGTAGCACGGATGTATGTTTGATTTTTCGATTGGCAAGTATTTATGCTTGGTCCTTTTGGTGTGGATTAGATCGAGAAAAAAAAAAACCTCTCTTCACCCTCACATTATGTGGAGGTGGGGGGGTTTTAGGAAATCTAGGACACTTGATGTATAGTTTTTTTCTGGGTATTAATATACATTTACATTTCATCCAAAAAAAAAAATTAATTCAATTTTTAATAATTACAATTTACATATTCAAAAACTACATTAAAATCTCTTCAAAGTTGTAAACTCCAAATTAGAATATAATTAAAAATTGACATCCTAATTAAGTGAACAAAACGAGACTGTTTGACTAAGAAAAGTCAAATTTGCAACTCTTTTTGGGACGGAGGTAGTATATTGTAAAAATCCATTACAATTTTAAAGCCCAAAATTAATACTTAAGTTGGCTACAAATACAAAAATACAAAAATAAAGGCGCAATTTCCCAAACCCACAATAACCTTATAGGCTTCTATCACGCCAACCTTAATGACTAATGGGTAATGTACAAATGTCAAGAAACAAGCTCATCTTGTTCCAATAGCTTGCAAGTCGTGATGGAAGAGCCACTAAATAGCTGACGAGTGAAGAGAGATACACTTATGTGACAAGTGTATCTACACAGGGATTCCGCGAGTCGAGACACACAATTTTGTCTGAAAGTCTTATTCAATTTTTAAAAATTATAAAAATGACTAAATACACAATATCATATTAGGAATAAATGATTTTATATCCATGTTGTTTGAATAGTTTTATTTATTTTTGTTAAAGATCACTATTGATTTAATTATATCTATATTGTTCAGGTTATTTTAGGAGAATGTGTTACTTTTTAATATGTGGCATGTTGAACTGCTTAAATATACTAATAATAATTATTGTTTAATATTGAATTGACATCAATAGATTATTAATTGTAATTCGTAACACTTTAATAATAGATTTAATATGTCGCTAGTAATAACGATTTAGTATATTTCGTTAGTTTATGATAATTTTTTGTACTGGGAGACATGCATGATAATTTATCGATACCGTACCGTTACTGAGCCGAAACTTCGGTATACCGAAATGCGGTATACCAAAATGCGGTACACCGAAATGCGGTATACCGAAACTTCGGTATACCGAAACTTCGGTAAGGTAAAGGTATGCAAATTTTACATACCGAAAATTTTGGCACGACAAAGGTATGAGAAAAAATATAAGATATACCGTACCGAACCATCCCTATCTATATATACGACATACACCTCTTTTTGAAGGCATATGACAATACTCGTAGCCAGTTCATGTATAAATGTTTTGATACATCAATCAGCTACGAATTGGTAATTTGTTTAGATACATACAAAAAACAAGAGTAATATATTAAAGATGAGAATAATCGTGCAATATTAAGAAATTTTGAATGTATTGTCAAAGGATACATATGTATGTTTGCGTAACCCTTTATTATTCCAAAGGTAGTAAAACTAATGTTTATTTGCTTATTATGTGATGACTACACACATGATTTATATGAAAAAAGGATGGAACATTGACGTTAAGATCAAAATGAGAGTCGTCTTTCCACTGAAAAGAAACTAAAGTCATTGTATCTTTAATTATAGTAAAGATGAAAACAGATAGATTTCATGAAATTAAATCAAATGAATGGAAGTAGATTGACAAAATATATCTAAGCTACTATATGCAAAAAAGAAGAAGGGACAAATAAGCCCTCGAACTAACCGAAAAAGTGCAAATCACCCCTTTCATAGGAGGCTCTGTCCGGCCGTCGCCATTTGGGGCGGTTCCCGGTGGAAATTTTTATTGAATTTTTTGAGCATCTTCTTCATTATGTCTAGTTTACCCATACCAAATTTCAGCTAAAAATGCAATCGGGAAGGCAGTCAAATAAATGTTTGAAGATAACTGTATAGTTAAACAGCGCAGTATATTTCAGAAAATCATTTGACTATCTTCCCGTTTTAATATTTAGCTGAAATTTGGTATGAGTAAACTAGACTTAATGAAGAAGATGCTCAAAAAAATTCATCAAAAAATTCCACAGGGAACCTCCCCAAATGACGACAGCCGGACAGAGCCTCCTATAAAAGGGGTGATTTGCACTTTTTCGTTTAGTTCGAGGGCTTATTTGTATCTTTTCCGCAAAAAAGAAAAGGTCAACTAAGCTATTTTGGCCTCCATGATTGAAGCAAATATCTTTCATCCTTCTCCTTCTCATTAAACTAAAGGTACTGTCCAAAAGACTTAAGCTTCAACCTGTGCAAATTTTCCTACTGCCTATTAAACACATTTAATGTGAAGGTGGTGATTTTGGATATAAAAGGGGCTCAATTCTTCACTGCTGCAAACAAAAAAACGTGAATGGATAGTCGATATAAATGAATTTGATTTTTTGGTAGTTGTGTGAGTTTGAAAATTACTACCTATAATTTTTGTTTTTTGCCAAAACTACTACTCCCCAGTGGCGTATCTACTATGGGGGCAGCGGGGGCAGCTGCCCCCACTCAACCCCAACCCAACCCCTATATATATGTCCAAATTTTTACAAGAAATTACTCAAATTAAGAGTTAAATGTAGAAAAAAAATTCTAAAATAGGATTAGAAGTGTTTTCTTTAATATTAAAAGAATGAAAGGCTAAAAAATTCACTAAATTATGTTATGTTTAAGACTGTTTAACTTATATTTAGGTAAATTTATTACATTTTATTTGCAATTACATCTTTACACACCCGTAATATAAATTAATCTTCTTTTTTTCATACTTGTACACAGATATTATAAACTAAATTTAATCAAACAATATTAATAATGTGATTTGTTATTTGTGAAATATGAGACTAAATTCTAGTCAAGTTTGCCCCCACTCGCCAAAGTTTCTAGATACGCCACTGCTACTCCCCAAATAGCTTATTTGGTACAAAATTGTGTCACAAATACGAGCCGTGACAAATGTGTCACGAATCTCAATCCAATATATATCTACTCATCAAGTCCATATACATCAAATAAAGCCCTTTGAAAGAGAAAAATGAAACATAGAAACTTCATCCACCTCCTCCTGTTCTACCTCATTGCTACCCATTATTTTCCCTCCTCGCTGGGCTCAAGCATAGCGGTCTCCGACCATGTCCGGTCACAATGTAACGGCTCGATAGCCGAGTGCAATGCTAATTACGACGACACGGAGTCGCCGGGAATTACTAGCCGGGGATATGTCGAAAAAGTGCATAGGAAACATATCACACCCGGAGCCTTGTCAAGGGATGAGCCGGTGTGCAACAGTGGCGGCCCTGGTAAACCATATACCCGTAGCTGTGTTCCAGAACCTTCTCACCATTACAATCGTGGGTGTTCAAGTTATTACCGTTGCAGAGATGATCTATAAAAGCTCTTCTATCCTGATCTTCTCATATTACGTTTTTGAAGTAATCAATTTGATCATACGTACGTATAATGTCAATGTCGATTTAATTTTTAATTTTGATCACTTATACGGAGTAACATATCAAATTTGTTACTACTTAAATGTTAGCTAGTCACGCGACGGCTGCTAAATATTTAGCGCCTTAGCTAAAGAACGATAGTCACGTACAAAATAGGGACAAAACTTTGAAATTCTCATTATTATAAAATATGAGAATTTAATCTCATATTTTAGTGGGACAGTTCCATATATATTTCCATCGAGTTTGCAGAAATTGTAGCAAAATACTCCGTAGTTCAGAAGGTTTCGAAAATTTATGTAATTAATTAAACAAGATCGATGATAATACAAATTAAATATGGGGGAAAAGACAGACATTGAGACATACATCACGTGCTTTAATTTTGAGACTTTTACATAATCCTTAATTATTGGAACAAATTAAGAATTAAACGTTACGTTCTAAGGAATTGAACTGAAGGTATGTAGTTTAGAGTCCCAGCCAGGAGCTAGCTAGCAACAGCACAACGGCCAATAGGGGTACTGTTTAGGCAAGGAATAGATAACTTCCTCCAACAATTAAAAAAGGATCTGGGACTCGTGCAAAAGACTATGATATGAACTATTAATGCTTTGATATTGATAATGGAAACAAAAACAAGAGATGACAATGTATTTGATGAAGTTCGAAAGTGATAACTAGTAGTAAGGCTGATCAGCAGGGGCGGATCCAGGAAATTTAGTTATTGGGGGCACCAAGTATGCAAAAGTGAGAAAAAACTCAAATAATTATAAAATAAATTCAAAGATGCAAAAATCCAATGTAACCATGATAGAAAATATATACTACCTCCGTCCCGTTGGAATTTTCCCGTTCAGTTTACGATGCTTGACTGACGATAAAGCAACTCGATCCCTGTTCACACTCCGCTTATTTTTAGTAAATAAGCGGAGTGTTGCTCTTCAGTGTTGCTTATGAAGAGCAACACTGATTGATTGATCTTGCTTCATCAAATCTTCACACCTTTCGAGAGCTTTATTGTGAAAGCTCTTAACAACACCAACATGGCTAGCTAATCTTTCAGTTTTATTCCAACTAGAAAAGCCTTCTGTTACAAATGCATCATTTCCTACTTGATTTTCATAGTTATCTCTAAATAAATAACAACACAAGCAAAATGCTTTGTCCTCTTTTACACTATATTCTAACCAATTCCCGTACTGATCGAACCAGACAGAATTAAAACGCCGCAATTTTTTACCAATATTTTTTTTAGGGAAATCATGGCCACGAGGTTGGCAGGGCCCCCTAAGCAAGTATTTTCTTCTTATCTCATCCCTTTGATTGGGATGATATGCTGAATTTTTTTTCCTTTCTGCGGGATCCTAAGGAAGATCATTCAAATTGATTTCTCTAGGTAGTGAAGGGGTGTTATTTGATACATTAGCACTTGAACTTTGCCCCGCATCCCCGCTTTGATTGGAAGTAGGCGGTGATTTTCTTTTAAAGAATCATGTTATCATTGTTTATTATCTGTCCAAACAAATTAAATTTTAAAAAAGTTACTTAATTTACACAAAATACATATGTTTAATCTGATCAAACAAAATTCCTAATAATTAATAAACTAATAAAGTAGAAGTCATATTTACACCCCAAGAGCCTAAAGTAGATTTACGAAATTTCTAATAAAGTAGATTCACACACAAAATTCAGAATTAACTAAC